TGTATGTTCAGATGCCTACATATCCTCACACTTTTGTTCACTTTCCACACCATTTGGTCGATTGGGCGCTGAATTAACTTTAATCTCTCAGTTTAATAGCATTAAAATCAGAAATAAATTGCAAAATAAAATTCTTTATAATTTTTTTTAGTAAAATGAAAGTATTGTTTAAAGTGTCTCTTATGATTATGAAACGTGATTTTACTGTTATATAATAATCCTAATTTTAATTAATTGTTTGTTTAATATTACTTTCTAATTGATAGTGGATTTTAAAAAATAATATTATTGATTATAAGTTATGTAATTTTACAAACACGGGTAATGTTTTGACAAAACAACAGAGATTAGCATATGATGTAAATTAAATTGTATTTTCCTATTGAGATAAACAAGTTTACAATTAATTTTGAAAATATTGATTGTCGTGATTTAAAATAAGATTTTCTGAATAAATAAATTACATTTTTATAAATATCGCAAACGAAAGGATGTACTCTAATATGTATAACAGTTAATGTTAATGACATAAAAACAATTATTTGATTGCATGTTAAACATACGCTCAACGAGTGGCAAATTGTATGACAAATTAATTAATTGTGAAACAAATGGTAAATTTAGAAACTCTTTGTTAATCTTATTATTGACACAATTGAAGGCAATAATAGGTTTTTATTTTAAAATAACAATTTTGTTTCTTAATTAACCAAATGTGATGTCAATTATTTGAATTGTCGGCAGATTTATGTATTGGAAAATTTATGTTTAACATTGAAAAATACAAAAATAAATTGATACACACTTCGGGTGAATAAACAATTGTAATACTATAATGAAAACTATTTTTATATAAAGAGAGCATTAAAATAATTAATAATCAGTTTCAACTAATTAACAGCTAAAAAGTTAAAATTATAATTTTACAAAATAATATTCAATGGCTATAATAAGTGTAGCGTTTCTTGTATTAATAATAGTGATAATTGAATCGCAAACAATTGACTGCAAAGTATTACCACTTCACCGAGTTAATTATAATTGTAAGTTCACATTCATTATAATTAATATAATAATTACTAAAATACTAATTATAATCATTTTATTTATATAATAACCTAGATGATGAGGGTTACTTGAATTATAATAGTAATCATCGGAACCGTCGACATCACCATCCGAGGGGTCGTTGGTTCAGGACGTATAACAACTACGGCCAGAATAATCTTGGTTACGCGCGTTCGCAGGAATATGATGGTTATGATAATAATAACTATGGTAATAATGGCGGCTATCAGGGCGGTAGTTATCAAGGTGGATATGACGGGGATAATGGCTATTATAATAATCGCAATCGTAATAACAGGGAAAGGGTTAAGATTAACGTAAAGGTGTATAACAATGCTGACGATGAATTGGCTCAAAGAAATTCTGAATGATCATTTTTGATTTTACATTTATTGTATTTTATATGTTTTAATTCATTTGTTAATATTTATTGTTCAAATACATTTTTAACATCACTATTTAATTAAAAACATCGTGATATTCATACTCATTAAAATATTTACTTATAAATATCTTTATATAAATGTTTATAATTTTAGCGCATAATAAAATAAAATATACATTTATTAATTGATAAAGTTTATAATAAATTAAATTTTTTTAAATGTGTATAATAAATGTAATTACTTTAAAATGAAACTTTATTGTAAGTAAAAGTCCATTATATTATAGTCTCAATTATTTAGATTTAATGGACATTCATTTGAATAAATGTAAGAATTGAATAATTAAATGTTAATAATGTATACAGTAGATTTACAATATATTTAAAAGTACATGTATATGTAAAGATATTAATGCAATTAATAGTACAAATAGTATATATTTCAACAAACAATTGACAACAAATGAGAGAAGATTTTAATTAAATCGTTGGCTAGAGTTCTACGAATTCATGGATGGCTTCACAATACAATTGAAATGCATTTCTTAATTAGTTTTTCATATATAATGAACGAAAAGTTTGTTGTTTTGTTTACCAAATGAATGCAATCTAAATAATAGATGAACTGAACAAATGTTTTACCAAATTATTGAACCCTTTTATTATTGTTTTTAATAATTTAAGCACAAAAACAAATTTGAATTAAAAATTCATATAAAATCTATTGACTCCAAAGACTTATGAACAGGTATTTGAAAAACTATAGCCAAACAAACGTCAAAACATGCGTTTAATTATTTTATTTTTACTAATTTTGGTTAAAATAATTGAGTCTAAAAGTAAGAGCAAAAACGAGGGCCGAGAATATGAAATAATTGGTAAATGATTTTATTATTGGCATTATTTGATTGAAAACATGTAATAGTTATTTGATAACATAATTTTTGATTGCAGATCCAAAAGCAAAGCAAAACAATAGACATCCGGTAATCAATAAACAAAGACCGGGTCGTCGACGACCAACAGCTCAACGATTACAACCGACTCATGAAAGCCAAGACCAACACTACCCTCAAGAACAGGACAATGAATCAAATGTACATTTTGACAACAGATATGGTGGTCATAACAATAGACCAGACATAAGACCAGATATGAGACCAGATATGAGACCAGATATGAGACCTGATATGAGACCAGATCTGAGACCACAGGAAAGACGGTTTACAAAAAATAATGTCAACACTAATATCAACACTAATAATATAAATCTAAACATTCACGTTAATAATAATAAGAAAGGTTATGGACAACACAACGGACACAGAATATTCTCTACACATCCATCATATGAGCAATAATAATATTCTGTGAAACAATAATAGCAACCAATTACTATTAAAACCGGTTCAGATTCTCGTAATTTTAATTAATTTTAATGATTATTTAAATTATATGCAATCACTTTAATAGCAATTATTCGGGGAAAATATAAATTAGTATAATATAAATGTAGTTTCGATTGCAAATTACCTTGAAAGAAGGCTTAATTACATGTTTTGTCAAATTATTTATTCAATCATTAAATGAATTTCATAATAATATGGCTATTGATTAGCGTTTCAATAAAATTGTGAAACACATGCAATATCTTAATAAGCATACAAATGATAACTATATATACCGTTTGGATTTATTATATAATTTTAAATTAGTTTTTTGATCACCAAGTATTATATAAAAAACTGAAATTATTTTTTGTTAATATTAACCTAACAGCAATGTTACCAATCTCTATATTAGTTTTTACAATACTTATAATTAGTGTATTGATTGAAAATGTATCAAGTAAATCACTGCCCCTCTACCCAATAAGTAAGTATTTAAAAAATATTATTTTACAATGTAAAGATTTTTAACGCAAAAAATATTACTCATGATAGAAAGGCCAGTCGACAGGCGGACAACAGCGCGACCGCCAATATATTATCAACCCATTGAACCCCAGCGAGAGGTCAACTATAATGAAAGACACACACAAATCAATACAATTAATATCAATGTAAATGTGATCCAACAGCAAAGGCCCAGATCCAATGTTGCTAGATCTAATGTTCAGTACCAACCGGGCCATCATCATCATCATCATCAACAATATAGAGCACCTGAACCAACTATACAGTCACTGGTTTATCGCAGAAAAAAGACACGGGGTTAGAAAAGTTAACTCAGATGATTCTAGCACTTTATATTAATTTATTGTTCATTTAATTAATTAAAAATGTAACTTAAAATGTGATTTTAGAATAATTTATTATTTTTTTGACTTATATTTATTATTGTAAATAAAACAAAGTTTATATAAAAAGTTTCAAGTTAATCATGTAAGTTAAGTTAACTATTTATTTAATAATACTCCATACTTTAGATGTAATAGTGGGTCACTATAATTATGTAAATATATATTTTAATACATAAATAAAATAAAAATTAAAGGTACGGTAATTACTATTTGTATAATTATAACTAAATAAATAAATTATAAATGATAATATTTAAATAATTAATTATTTATAATATGGATTACTAGGAAAACCAGCTTATGCTGAAAGTGATTCCAATAAAGATTGATTGATTATCTATATTTCAAAATTTATGTAAATTTTATAGAAATATTTCGAAATCATTTATAATTAAATGAATTGAATAAATGTACACAATATTAAAACAATTATCTAAAAAAATCAAAATATGTTTTGCATGTTTAAATCAAGTTTTATTTAGGTGTATAAATAGTTTATAAATCACGGCAAGTAATGTTATTCAATGTAATTGTAAATTTTATTCTATAACTTTAATTTAGATAATACTGCAATAAAATCAATAATGTAATTATTGTTCAGTTATAATATAAAATTATAATTATTATGAAATATAAAATATATTGTTATTGAAAATATAAAGTTTAAACTAATATCTGCATTAAAGTATACAGTTAGAAAAAAACGTATTTATCTTAAGATTGAAGTCATTAATTATTAATTAATCATTAATTAAGCCACTGTTAAAAACCTGGCGTTTAAATTCATGACTACATATTAACGATGTAATAAGCGATGGAATCAACAGAATTGAAAGAATCGGTAGAATATATTTAATTGGAAATTGTTATGATTGCGATCACTACTTAACAGGTATTTAAGAAATTACATGTATATAAATATCATTATTGCATATAATTTATCGTTATGTTCAAAATACAACAACTTATAGACTATCGAAGCAAAAACACGATGATTGATGATATAACTGAGGATTGTGATAATAGCAAGAATAGCGTGCTTGGTCATTTTAATAAAACTCGTATTGTATGTTTTTATAGACAAGGTTTGTATTGCATTTATAATTTACAATAATTTATACTGTATTGTATATTGTGTTAAAGAAATTGATACGATGTCTACTTCAAGCTATATGTTTAGCAAAAGTGCACAATTGTAGCTAACATTGGTATTAGTTGGTACAAATGCTTATATATTATGATGCAAGATGGTTCGCCAATAATTTAATGTGGTATGTCTATAATCGGGGTTCAATTATTTTTACACAATACAGTATAATGTGTTGAGCATTTGGATCACATCCGCCGCTCATAAGCCCAGTCTTGTGTTGTACTCCTATTTGGCAAAAGACATTGAAATACCGTCACATTTAAGACTTAAAATCCAGATATTTATTAAACGCTTGTGCGGACCCGATATTGGTTTCTATTGCTATGATTTGTTAGCAATGAATGACTACGAGTTTTGTTCATATGTTTATTACGCGGTACCATAGTTTCCCAGGGAAGGTATGAGCGGGTAAATACAGGTATTTTAGGGTAACATATTTTATATTTGATTTATGATTATTATGGTGCATTCAAATGTGTAGTAACCAAATAATGAGAGAGGTAGATTCTTTTAATTTAGTGAATTTAATTGTTTAAATTAAGAAATTGTGCAAAATTATGTGTAAAATTAGTTTTAATATTCTCAATAGCTTTTGCAATAACTCACTCAATGTCACTCATTTAATGACAATATTTAATAAATATATATATTGTCAATATTTAATAAATAAATGTAATAGCATTTGTGATTGCTGTTTGAAAAGTTATCATAATACAACAAAAATAATACCTAGATAAAAACTTATTTTAATAAAGAATGGACTCTAATGAAAGTGATTTAATTTGTTTTAAATGTATTGTCATTAATGTTGCTATTACTAGAATAATACGTTATCTATGTTTATAAAATACCATTTTAAAGCATCATTAAAACTTATTGTTTCACCAAAAATGTACTAAATTGTTTAATTTTTGTTACGTATTTACATTTTTACATTTAAATTAAAAATCACAATCAAACAGTGTAACAATCACAATCAAACAACATTAATAACTAAAAAACATTAATGTAAAATTTAAATACACCAATTTACTTTATATAAGCAGCTGTAGAGCAATTAGTTTGTAAAGTACATCCATATGTGTCGCATAATTTTGTCGAATAAAAGTACTTAAAATATTGATACAAAAAGTTTTAAATTCAATATTTAATTTCATATCTTTTATTCTAGATAAAAATTCTAATTAAAAGTAGTTATTACAGGTACATATTATATAAATAATATTTTATTATTTTTGTCATTTAATTTCAAATCTATTAGACATATAAATAGATTGAATGGTTTATTAATAAATTCATTAACGATACAAACGTTTATCAATTGATTGTCGAGAAACATGTTTCCCAAACTGTTTATTATAAGCGCATTAATACTGACTGTTATAGTGAGTGACTGTATTGAATGCAAATCATTAAGTCTTCAAGCTAGTAAGAAATCATTTACATACTTATTATCTAATAATTAAAAATAACTTTTGATATTAAAAACCAATTATTAGGTACCCATGCTACAACCCACGCCACCACCACTACTCCTCCCACAACGCCAGCATCCCGTGATATTAATGTTAATGTCAATGTAAAGAAAACTATCCAGGTTCAACCAGGTCGCTGACATGTTGAGATGGCAGTTTATGCAATTTTGTTTGCATAAATTAAACATGGCAAATATATATATTTTTGTGCGTGTACAATTTGTCTTTACATGCCTTTAATTGTTATTTATAAAAGTTGCTTAAATAAATAATTATATTTTAACATTTTATTTTTAAAAGTTTGAACATTGAGTAAACATGTTTATTATATTTTCAAAATAACGAAGTATATTTTTATAGCCAGTATATTATAATAAACACCAATAGTATCCCAGATATATTACAGGTATCCCAATATTTATATTTTAAAATTATAAATCAATTTGATTTAATCCATTATAATCCCACATCCTTTATAACTTCTCAATTTATGAAACACTCAAAAATACAAATAAAATATAGATTATAAATACTCTGTATTCACTATTTTTAACAATTGTAAGTACTGTTAATCTACTGAACTATTTAAAATATAATAGTTAAAAGTATCATTATTTAGATGAGTGTGTACACTGTACAAGGCACAAATTGATCTAATATTAATTAAACGCATTACAATAACAATTAGAAAACATAACTATTATGCAATAAATGTCATTTTTATTTATTTTGTGAGCAGATTTCAAGTGATGAACCAAATTTTTCAATAGGATTATAAGTTAATGAGAAAGTTTTTTGACATAATGATGTTTCAATGCGTACAGAATAATGTTTTAATTGATACAACTCGTATAAAGTACTTATAAACTTATAAAATTACATTTTTTATTCATTACATAAAATAGTACTTTGAAGAAGTGTTGAATTCTGAGTGAAACCAAATAATTTAATTCAATTATAAAATGAAGATAAATTTTGCAATAATTTTAATTCACGTATTACTGGTTTTATGTCTCAGCGTTTATATTAGTGAACAACAGGGCGGCGAACCCGGCACTGGAGACACAGGAGGAACGGGGGGTAATACTGGAGGAGGTGTAGGAGGTGGGCAAAATGGTGGCGGTAAGAAATCTAGTGATATATTAAATATTAATTAATTATTTAAAATATACTGTATAATAATTACAAATATTTTGTTTGCAAAAAGGTGGCCGATTTATCCAGGTGAAGCACCATAATGTAAGAACTGGGCGCACAAACGTGATCAGATTTCCATCGGGCACCGGGAGTGGGGGCAGAAGTGGTGGTAAAAGTTTGTCATTACGTCGTGACCCAAACGCCGCCCAAAAAGTAAGGCAACAAAACCGACGGAGGAATAGAGGAGGCAATGGTAGTAGTGGTGGCAGTAGTGGTGGCACAGCTGGTGGTGGCGGTAGTGATGATGGAGAGACTTCTAAATAACCATATTTTGTTTAAGAACATATCCATTGCTTTACCTAGGGTGACCACCTTCCATTTTAGTAAAAGAGGACATAACAAAAAGTTTTAGAGGACAATAGGGAAAACATACACTAAAAATTATGACAAATAGAGGACACAAGTTTTAACGTTGGTTTTCATAGCAAATCTTAAGAGTAGACTATTCAAAAAAT